ATCGCCTCTTTTATCACTACTCATTCGAAGGTCGAAAAACTAAAAAATATACGTAAAAGTAATAAAAAAAAAAACGTTCAACTGCTGAAGCTCGCGAAGTTTCCTTGCTAAGTTATTGATACCCAGTTTTACACAATGATAACCTTAATTGTAACTGAAATTATTGTACCTCCAAAAAAATGTCGACAAAAAATCTGATCAGCTTTCTCCAAAAAACTCTAAAAACTCAAAAGTAACTCCAGAAAAACAAATTTAAAAAAAAGTAACTCCAAAAAAACTGACGTGAAAAGGTTTCTGCTGCAGTGATCAGCTTGCTTCTAAGCAATCCTAGGAAGAAGAAACTATCGTCAGTCCTGCTTCGTATAGCTACTTTTAGTCGCACTACTTCTATCTTTCAAACATCTCCGCCTCTCGAAAGAAGGGGTTTTGCCTCTTATCATTAAAATTTTCACTAACCAAACTATCGTAGTCATCGGTGTCCGGGCGCGGAGGAATGACCGACGATGCTTTATCCTTGACAGGACGCGCATAATTTGCCATTGCACCAGTCTGCAGTATTTCTTTCCATTTCTCATCTAGCCGTTCCGTTGCTTCCTCCTGCTCATCACGTGCCATCTTCTTGTCATATCGTTGCTGTTTCGTTTTTTCTATCAAATCAGCAAGAATATCGCGCCTGAAAAAGGATTTCGCCAAACTATCAATACCGTCCGGACAGTCAGAGCGAGCCGATTTAACTAGTGCTATGTGCCAAAACCCATCAATGCTAAACACTTTCTTTCACCCTGTGCTGCAAGCATTCGTACACACTGCTTTTACTAACGTATACGTGCTACTGCACCGAAAACCGTCCGAATAATAGTCTTAAGTACCCTTGACTGATATAGGGCGTTAGGTAGTACTAAAGTGAGTACAGTGTTCAGCCAAGTGGTCTTTCATGACATGCGTTATGAGGAGATGAGAGAAGCAAAGAAGGCGCTACATTAACTTTATTTCAAATCATTGGCGACGCGCACTGGGGGGCCCCGTGCGATCATGCGTTTTTGCAGTGTTTCAAGCTATAAGAAGATTAATCGAAATTCTACTAGCTAGAAACCTCTTATTCATACTGGTCCTCGAATTTCGGGAAATTAATTATCCACGCTATAGTTGGACAGGGAACATTCCCTT